AACTCACTAACCTCCAGCAAGTGCAGGAAGATTCCTCTGTAGAACGCCATGGATATTGCTCCTTAGATAAAAGATCCGTAGACAAAAGCTCCGTAGATAAAATCGCACAAGCTGTGAAAAGCTTGAAAAGTAGAAATTCTGCTATAATTGATGAAATCCGCCTAAAAAATTCAAAGCAATAGGCAAACAATGCTGCCTCACAAAATGCAATGACTACGGGGAGGATACCATCAGATTGAAAAACGGGGTTGTTGTACCCTATTCAAGAAGGAAGACCATTAATAGTGTTCCAATTACCAGGACATACTGGACGTTGAGCCTCCCTGGTAAAATCTACGCAAAAGCGTTAGAGGGGATGCCGCGGAATAGATGCAAGAAGAGCATTGTGTCCGACCCGGTCAAGGAACCTTTGACATTACATTCGCGCTACACCAGATTGCAGAGAAACTGTAGAAATTTGCCTATCCGGTGTACACGCGATTTTCTGACCGAGAGGATGCATATGATCGAATTCTGCGCAACAGTATGTGGGTATGCTTGTGAACATATGGTATCAATGGCCAAGTGCCAAGGGCAATTCAATCACTATATGCTAGTAGCAGGTACTGCAGCAGTGAGAATGACACTAAGTCGAAGCCTTTTAGAGTTGACACTTGTTGCCGCCAAAACACGTTTTGTCTCTGCTCTAGTCTGATTCATACATGGACACAATAGTTAGCTGCAATTGAAGCAATGAGTGTCTCCATGTGTTAGACATCGGAACGGGAAAATTGCTGTGCGCTGACGATTCTGTGCTGTTGTCACCTTACAAAACTGATCTACAGGGCTTGTTCGACTGGAAAGGTTTACAGCTGAATGCGACTTAAAAGCATGCGTTTTAACGTGTCTTAAACGAAAGGCCTAATGCTTTCTCGTTTTCCTGCTCGTTGCTCGTTTCAGATAAAAGGAAACGGAAGAAGGCAAGTATATAGTTCAGGTACCTTGGGTTCGTGTTTATTGATGATGGAAAATTTGATTGTCCGGAGGACTGTAGTAGCGAGTGACGTTCTGCATGAACTTTCCTGAACTGTTGCGACTAAAGCATGGATAGAAAAGAGGCTATTAGCTTCGAAGCTGAACATCATCCAACGGTCTTAAGTTGTGGAATATGACTGTTAACTTCGATTCTTGGAACAAGCCGCTGTAATGTGCTTTCTGAGACGAATCGGTCAGTTTCCACGTCTCGACATGGTCCGGAGAACAAAATCTATGAAGGTCTTGGTACACGGCCGCGGCTTCTTCAGATCAAGATGCCACAGCTGCGATGAATTGGATAGATGTTGTCAATGCATCGAGAAAGGAAGACGAAGCAAGTATTTCTTGCTCAGCCGATCGGTAAAAGGCCTAGTAGACAGCGAAGGTTAGCTTGGTGAAAATATATGCAAGTAGTCTGCTCTAGACTCCGTCGTCTTCCACCGTAACTCAGAGTCTGTCACATGATCGAGAACGCTGGACGTACTGTTTAATCCAACTACTACTGCCACCGAAAATAAGAACCAATTATGGGAGATGAACATGAAAATGTATCAGCTGTGCTTTTCCCAGCAGGATAAGAATCCTGCAAAATAGTACTTCCAAGTTAAGTTTTTCATATAGGGCTATCATATTCAGTATGGTCATATTCGGAATTTGCGACAAGTTAAGTTGGACCGTCTTTGTTTTACGTTTTCGCAAACTTGGTTACAATGTACAACGGCGAAGACAGTCGATTTTATATATCTGAAACATGAGGACTGATGAATTGCCTAGTTTGAACATTTTACATATCGAACTGCCCATTGTAGCAACTTATGCTTATTTACCAAATACTCTTCGGTACCTGTTCTATCGTCACCCTTCGTTTATTGCCTGGAAATGACCGAAATGTTGGTTGGCCAAAGCGTCAGTAATTAAAATAAAGGTTTCCGCAACGGTGTTTTGTTCATTATCGCAACTACTGAATCGATCCTGTTTGTTCATCAGCACTATGTTCTCTGCACGAAATTGGTAAAATCAATAATTGTTAGATGTTTAATAATATACGTGCTGATCATAATTTTATTACGGTATTGTTTTGCTAGTACAGAAAATGAACTGTACGTATTAACTTTAATGCCGCCTAATTGAGATTCCAAACCTGGGTATTTTAAACTTTATTGAAATAAATTTTGTTTAATCACCTAATCGGATCTCTTAATATTTGTAGAAAGTAGAAACCGAACAAACTGTAATATCATGCTTTTCGGTGGTGCAATTATGAAGAAATGTTAGAAAAATGTTAAACCTTCAGAAGAAATTGTTAGAAAAGAAATCACAACAGTTCAGCTCTCCGCCTGTCAAACGAATATCTATTCGTGATAAGTTGTTGCTGCAAGGTACCAATTTGTTACGTCTTTTTCTGATGACTAATTCATCTGACATTTTAGAAGTTCATGAGTTGAACATGGTGATTCCACGAAGCTGCGAGGTCGAGTTTCCATCAAATGAGCTCCACACGATTCTCTTGACGGTAACTCCAACTGAGGGAATGTATCTGGGCGGTGTCTTCCGTTTCCGCATAGAAGTGCCTCTGGAGTACAACATTTTGGTAAGATGATTTGTATTTGTTTCATATTTTGCATCTTTAGCTACAATGCGGTAATGGTATGCATCCATTCGTATTTTTTAGGCCATATTGTTATCGTCGTAAAATTAGTTTCAGTGTCGTGACTGCCCATGCTGGTAGTTAGCTTTATTATGAACCATATTTTGAATAACTGTAGAGGCTACCTGAATTCACTGACAAAATCAAATTGATTGAGAATGCAGAACGCTAGTTCATTGTATGATACCATGGTATATAGTTTCAATAACGTGGGTCGTATATTATCTTTTTTTGTTTTCACAAATTTGAGACAATCTGAATATTGACGGCTGCTTTTCGTTGATTGTCTACTTATGTCAAAGACGGATTCTTGGCCGGCTCTTTATAGCGTACCGAGAAATCGTCAAATTTGGGAGATGAATCTCTGACGTTTCCTTTATTGCATTTTTTGCTGGTCGCTACTGCGGCAAAACTGCTGAATCGGTATTCTGTCGATAACTTGGATCCAAAGATCTCGGCTTAACGTGTTTATTCATGAGCTGCAGGATCCCTTTGAAGACGATAAACAGAAATTACATCAGTATTCCCACACCTTCGTGAAATAGTGTTGCAAAGTGTCGATGTAAATGAAATTCTTTGGGACACACTATGCATATCCTGAATGACACCACCACGTGTGTATAAATCAACATCTTAGGCCCCTCCTTTCTCTCTGATTCAGTTTTAGAAGCAAAACTTGTGGGCGTTGATTCAAGGTTAGTGATGAAACTGATGTCAAGAGTCACAAAATCCACCTCAACATTATGCGTTCCTGTTTAATCAAATATCTACCCTCTGTAAGAAGTCGCAGCTTTTACTTTGTAACTATCTGAAGAACAATTCCGTGTGAAGATCAGTTATTGCAGTTGTGGTCATGACATTTGTCTGTTGCAATTCCTATTAACAGCAACATTATTCTCGTCTGTTGTGGAAAGAATGGCCTGCGGTTGAATGCATTGAAACAAGATACCGTAGTAGTGTTCTATTCCTCAAAAATCAAATTTTTTGTGTAAAGCAACTCCCCGTGCTCCTGGATATTTTAGATGAAGGATGGGGGTGGAAAGAACTTAAGCAAATCATGATGTCGTTGATGTTTTAGAACTTGCTGTGCTATGCGCATCTCGTCATTTTACTGACCAGCGAGGTACGTTGCTCGTCAACAGCGATGTTTTAGAATCACATTCTTCTGATAGTATTCTGCTCAGCATCCAAAATATGGCTTGTTTCACTGGTATGTAAGATTTGTGCTACAGTTTTTGGAGAGAACAGTTTTAAATATTCTAGAGACTGTTTGTCAACCGGCCAGCTTCGCTCATGTCGTATTGTTTTGTCGTTCGGCTCTTGTTCTTCCTC